TACCCGTGCGACGTCGTGGGCCGCCGCTGGCGCTGCCGCACGGACGGCAGCAAGGTGATGAAGGTGTTTCTCGACTCGCGTGACCGCAAGCGTGTGGAGTCACGCCTGCCACTCATCGCGCACATCTACAAGCAGCTGACACACCGCGCCGTGAGCTTTGGCTTCATGTGGAACTCGAAGCTTCAGCAGGTTTCCTCGCGGTAGACGTTTTTGACGTGAATCAGAAGGTGCCATGCGAACTTTAGTTGTGGTTTGTTTCTTATTTATTTATTTTTATTCTTTGTTCGGCGGAGAAACGTTGAAGACAAGAGCGAGACACCCGCCTTGTATGGTGTGGGTAACAATGCGTTTTGCCGCTGTGCCGCCCCTGGACACGGCATGGCGTCGACTATGCGTGGCTGTGTGTTTCATACCGTTTTCGTTTTTCCGTTACCCGCGCCCCTCTTTGCCTTGCTGCTCACACTGATCACGCCACACAAAGGGAGAAGGATGTCTGTTCAACCACACCTGCGCAAGCTTCGCAAGCTCAAGCGGGCCAACCCCTCGCCGGATGAGGACAGCGTTGCCAAGGTCCTGTTTGAGCTGGAGGCGACCCACAAGACGCTCCGCACGCAGCTTCCGCGTTTCCACATCAACACTGTCCGCACTCTGACGAGCCCGCGCTTCCGAAAGACGGCGATGGTTGTTCTCTACCCACTGCGGTTCCTGATGCTGGTGCGCAAGATCCAGCGTACACTGACGGCGGAGCTTGAGAAACGCTTTCCCGGCAGCGTTGTGGCGCTTGTGGCGCAGCGCAAGATCACGAAGCGCCCGAACGACGTTTACAAGCTGCAGAAGGTGCAACGCTCCCGCACGAGCGTGGCAGTGTTTGAGAACATCTTGAACGACCTGATCTACCCGTGCGACGTCGTGGGCCGCCGCTGGCGCTGCCGCACGGACGGCAGCAAGGTGATGAAGGTGTTTCTCGACTCACGTGACCGCAAGCGTGTGGAGTCACGCCTGCCACTCATCGCGCACATCTACAAGCAGCTGACACACCGCGCCGTGAGCTTTGGCTTCATGTGGAACTCGAAGCTTCAGCAGGTTTCCTCGCGGTAGACGTTTTTGACGTGAATCAGAAGGTGCCATGCGAACTTTAGTTGTGGTTTGTTTCTTATTTATTTATTTTTATTCTTTGTTCGGCGGAGAAACGTTGAAGACAAGAGCGAGACACCCGCCTTGTATGGTGTGGGTAACAATGCGTTTTGCCGCTGTGCCGCCCCTGGACACGGCATGGCGTCGACTATGCGTGGCTGTGTGTTTCATACCGTTTTCGTTTTTCCGTTACCCGCGCCCCTCTTTGCCTTGCTGCTCACACTGATCACGCCACACAAAGGGA